AAACATGTATTGGGGCAGTTAAGGGCACAAAGAGAATGTTGTAGAGGTGATAATGGACAAAGGTATTCTTAATCCAGTAAGAACAGGCCAGATAAGGAGAAGTCAGAATTTTAAAAAAAGCCTTTAACTGTATCTACCACCTGAGCTAGTCTGGGGTATAGCTGTTTCTTTAACAGAAGAGGTGGTTAAATAAATAAATAAAGAGGCACCCCTACTTTAACTCTCTTTTCTCATGGGTCTTAGGATCTTGTTGTCATGCACATCTGTTATCTTTTCAGATTATTAACGATCAAGCATCTCATTTTGTTGTATGAAATGTAAAGATGCCCCTAATGGAAATCCTTTCCTATGTGCTCTTCCTGCTCCTGATCTCTCAGATGAGCTCAGTTTCTTGGTGGCAGATATGGCCCAAGGAGAAGATGAGCAAGACTAGTGACATTACAGGAGCTGCAGTGGATCCTTGGGTATAAACTTGGAAATCTTGAAGGACTAGTAACTACAAAAGAAGCTACAAAGCAGAGCAACTGTCACACTGTTAAGGCTCACAAACCCAGAGAGGACAGTGTGCTAGCAAATTATGTGAACAGCCATGCCAAAATTCTACATCATAGCAATTACAGGTGTTCGATTATGAAGCTTTGATGAACTTGTGACTTTCTCTGTTTTCTTTCCCACAGGATCTTTTCATTCTTGAGCAGGGCTAGATATAGCTCCTTTATCTTCTGGTATCTGCTGAACTGTTCCAAAAGCCTGGGCTGTGGCCTGTAGAGACTCCATAGTCTGCTTCTCTAGGGCTTTTTTTGCTGGGGTTTCTCAGGAAGTTGTCTCTAAACAAGGATTACTTCTAAGAGTCAGAACTCATTTGGTATACCTGACTTAGAAAATGAAAATGCGTGAGTGGAAGGCAATAGGGAGACTGCAATAGGAGTCTATTTTTGTACTCTTATTATTAACCTCCATCACCACCCCACCTTGCACCCACAACTGTAAGTTTCATGAAGTCAGGTTGGGGCTCTTTTTATTTTGTTGCTTATTGACTCATGTCTAGTAGAAGGTGTTGCATAGAAGGAGTGATAAATAGGTATATACATATATCACTTATATGTAGTTTTAACAGAATTGAGCATCTGGGTGATGTTGTGCTTCTATTATACTGTTCCTGCTGCAAACGTGATTACTGTGTCACTTACTGAAATTTAGCTATTTGCATATTTTTAATGTATCTATGATTCTCCTTGGGTAAATTTTCACCAAAAATGTTTCATATCTTCTGTTTTTTTTTCTTAAGGTTTTTCTCAGAATTGTGTTTAATTTTAATTCTACCATATTAACCTTTACTACTACACTTAAACCACCTTAACTTTTGCTTTGCTCCAAGGTTTTCTCAAACGAGAATATATTAAAAATCCAGAGGCCAAAGAGGAAGACATTTCATCAGGTTCCCCACTGAGCAGATGTCATAACAGGAATAAAAATGCAGAGCCCTAAGGAAGGTTCACTTTTCCCTGTCACACCAAACACAGTGCACTGGAACATGAAGCATGCCAGTATCATTGGCACAGGTGAAAAAGTGTATGTGGCAGATTCAGATATCCTTTTGGCCTAAATTTTCAGTTTTCTTGATAGGATCTGACTCTCTCAGTTGAAAATCTAATGCTTTATAGGAGAGTTCCAAGATAGCAGCCAAGGGTGAGGGGTCAGTTCAGAAAGGGAAAGGAGTAAAGTGATAGATAGTTGATCTGTGGAAGGATTGGAAAGGAAAGAAATATGAGCAGAGGGGTGCAGGCATGTGATAAGGGAGTTCTTTTCTTTTGAACATTGCAGTCAACGCACCATGTGCTGTGCTCGTCATTCATGTACAGTCATACTCTGAGCTCTCTGAAACCCTCAGTTTCAATCATATATTAGACCTGAAACTACATCACTCTTAATATCTCTGCTTTAACCACCATGCTCCATGTAGCCATTATTCTCTTCTGCAAATATGGGGCAATGTAAAATTGTACTATCACTTTCAAAAAATCTGGAGGTTTGTATAACAAGAGACCCTAAAATCCAGTAATTCAACTTACAACTTTGCCCATGCAAAGCAAGGGAGAAAGGTAAGATTCCATTTCCAGTAGTGGAGGTACATATTTCAACAAAACAGCCCTCTTAACCTGTAGCTCAACATTATAAAAATTGCACAAATGTAAAAATAACAGATAAAAAAAAGAAAATTAAACCTGAAGGCACAGAGAGTGAAACAAGCAATCAGAACCTACAGTGTAAAAAACACTTGGAAGAAAAGAACAGTATTGGAGTCATCTAGTTTTGATTTTTTTTTGAAGACACATTCAGTTGGAAGCAGGTAGATAGTTATAACTTTGCAACATACAGACTTATTGGCTGGCTGGAAGGATAAGAATAATTTGTGGCTACTGTAGCAGCTAGAAAGTGTTAGGAGAACATCTTTAAAAAGGAGATCCAGAGGGAGAATCTCAAGTTGTACATAAAATCTCTGATCAAATCTCTGAACTACATATGTTTGAGATAGATGACAATCAGCCCAATTAGGGCTAATGGATCTGATCACAGATTTTTGTTCCTGCAAAATGCAAGGGAGAATTTATTTTATTATATCAAGAGTTAAAGGGATTTATCTAAGAAAAAGAGGATCAAAAACTATGAACAGTAAAATGACAACAAACTCACAACAATCAAAAACTGAACCTAAAAAACAAAAACAAAAACTAAGCAAACAACTAGAACAGGAACAGAATCACAAAAATGGAGATAACAAGGAGGGTGATCAGTGGGGAACAGGAGGAGGAGAATGGGGGGAAAGGTACAGGGAATAAGCATAATAGGTAGGTACCAAGTAGACGGGTGGGGGGAGGAATACTATGGGAAATGGAGAATATCAAGAACTTATATGTACAACCCATGGATATGAACTAAGGGAGGGGGAAATCATGGAGGGTGGTGGCAAGTGCAGGAAGGAAGGGCATAAAGGGAAGAAAAAAATGGGACAACCATAATAGCATAATCAATACAATATACTTAAAAATTATTTCAGTACTTTAAATAAGAGTAGGTAGTGACAACAAAAGATAAAACTTTATTTTAAAATAAAAATAATCTCTAAATGTACAATAAATATAAGTAACTATAGGCAAAATATTATGCAGCAGATTTGTAGAACTTACTCATCTTACATAACTGAAACTTTAAACCTGTTGAACTGCAATGCCTTAAAAATGTAAGTAGTTAAATAATTTTTACCACAATAAAAAAGACAATGTGATTGATAACAAATGTTAAATAATAAATTCAAAGAGAATGTTTAGAGAAAAGTAATTACAACCTAGAATTGTGTACTAGAAAACTGTAGGATAAACTATATTTCAAAATTAAAAAAATATATTTTTATGCAGAAAGGTAAGACTAAAATGATATACTTCCTTAATCTTTGTTCTATTTCAAATCATAACAAAGATATTAAATTTGAGGTAGATTAATACTCATTTTTAACATTCATTATTTCAGATCACAGAGAAACTCAATCGACAACAATCTGGACCACTGCTTATGTGCTAGGAAATGAGAAAGATAGTGCAAAAGCTCTATTTTTTCATTCCCTCAATATTCTTATGTTATTCTTACTATTTTTATTTCTTATGAGAAGCTAAGTCCAACCTAATTAAATTTAATATAGGCCAATGAGTAGCAATATCAGTATGATTATGAAATTCTATCTGATTTAAAGTCAAGGCTCAACTGTGTACAATGTTCACTCTCTACAACATGTCACCTGCAAGAGGACCCTTGTCATTAACTATTTAATGTGGTTTTAAACATTATACCAAGCACCTCCTGCTTCATTAATGGCCACATGGATTGAGAACATCAATCAATATCTCAGCCCCTAATATTTTCCTCTGATGCTCCAGGCTCCTTCTATAAATCAGCATCTCCTGAAATTTCCCTTTTACCTCACATCCTAGGGAATTTGGCTCTTACCTTTCCTGGGGAGTGAACAGCAGAAAGAGTACCTGTGCTGGAGAAACACAGACCTGGTTCCAACCTTAGCTTCTCCACTCATTAGCTATAGAACATTCAAACAACCTTCATAAGTTTGTAAATTTTTTAACTCCCTGATAAAGAATTATTTCTTTTATGGTATTAAAAAATTAACTTAGATTAAGGTACTCCCTATATATTTATACATGTATACAATAATACACACACACACATATATATATTTATGTGGGTTGTATATGTATGTGTGTGCAAGTAAATATATATATATATTTATGTGTTGTATATGTATGTGTGTGCAAGTATAAATTTACATGGACACATTTTTTTCCCAGGCAAGTACCATTTTTTTTATCCCACTGGGATAAATAACTACCCCTCTACATGTTGATGTGGGTTCTGTGCAGTAGCTGGTCCTCATTTATAATGTGTGCTTTTCAGTTTGTTCCTTTCCTATCCTGGGCAAATCTATTCCTCAACATAATTTGAAACTGCTTGTAAAAGTAAGGAAGAGAAAAGTGCATGGGATGGTCTATAGGGTGTTGTACTCAGATGTTTCACTGTAAGAAAAAGTCCTGAAAACCAAAAGCCTGCCCCTAAAAGAATAGCTGTCCTCAAACATGGTTTCCTCTGCTAGACAGGTCTTAGAAACTCATACTTTGCATTTTCTGACCCATTTCCAAGAAAGAGCCTTAACACAGTCCCAGTCTGGGTGTAAAAAGGTCTCTAAATGAAGACTGGGACTGGACTGGTCTTGACAGCAGAACCTGGAACCTGACAAATGAGGCTGCTACAGAAGCACTTAGTGCTCCTCTGAAGAGCACAGACCTGTTGCACAGGTTACCTCAGCTTATGCTTCTCAGTGACATTACAGCAAATATTTACTGTAATTGTGCTGGACACATATATGGGAGCTTTACATTCAGGGGAGGTTAGTTTTACACAGCCATCTTCAAGGTTAGGTATAGTTTAAATTACAATTTGTATTTTATGAGAAGAAACAAAAATTTATTGATTGTTACACACCATTTATGACAAGAGACAGGATTTGAACTAAGAAATTTGGAACATAAAGTTTTCATTCTGGATACATATATTACTTTTGGTTTTAGTTTTTTTTTTTTTTTCTCAGCCCTCTTAACAGCCTGCTGCTGTATGCTGGGCAACACACAGACACACTCAGATACTCCTTATTTGGAGAGGGTGGGTGGGATGATTGTGTGTTGTCCTGAGGTCATGGTTGGTGGACACTGGTGATCCATGTCTCTTCAGATCAGTGATAAACAAAAATATGGAGAAATGGGAGTGCAGAGCTGTTACACCAATACTGCTCTGTCTTTAGGAGGGATTAGATGTCTCTCACTGAGAATACAGAAAATGATAAATGAGCAAATAAGTTTCCCATCTGACTTACGTCAGAAACAGTGCAAACCCCAAAATGACTAAAAGTCCTGAAGAAGGGAGACAACAGAGAACAGATGGTGTGAATGGAGCAGTGAGTTCAGAGGCAGGAGGTGAGCCCCAGAACAAGTTGCTATGCAGGAGTGGGTGAGGGAAGGAGAGGGCTCAGGAGCCGGGTGGGCACAGGGTCATGGGAACTGGACAGTTCCAAGGATTGAAATATGGATAAGCAGTCTGAGAAAAGTGACATTTAGAGAACTTGTAGATGAGTGACCCTTGGTTTGTGACATTAAAAAATGAGACAGTACCTGCTTCAAAATCTAGGAAAACCCCAACTCGACAGGGAGGAACAGCCATGTAAAGAGTCAGGACCTTGGGATCTGAAGTGGGAGAGTCCTCAAAGGCAATGTACTCAGATTCGTTCTGTAAGCCTATAACCCAGAAGCCATTTTCAGGTCTGAACCTGGAGTAAGCATTTGAATAATTTACATTTGGGTTAAAAACAAACCCAGAGCTTTTTTTCCTGTTGAGGTTACTTGGTGTACTGTATACCCCCAGGATCCAGGCAATCTTCCCAGACACATCAACTTCCCAGTAATATTTCCCTGAGAAGAAATTTCGGCTGCCCAGGACATCAAAAGCAGAAAAATTGCATGGATATACATTACTAAACATAGAATATTGCCCGAATGTCACTTGTCTCTGATCCGAAGAAACAGCAACATTTGAAAGATTGTTGAGTGGATTCAGCATCAAGTCCACTGTAGGAAAAATTACACAGTCAGGTGAATTACATAGGGCAGGTGTGTCTTGTCACACTGTGGGGAAGAATATTGGGAATCGAATGGGAGAAACATGAGTTAATGGGTCAGTGATGGATAAGTCACTTTAGGACTGTTTCAGGTATGCATATTTTGGAGGAATACGTGTCAATAATATTATGGCACTTAATAGTACCAGAACTGAAAAGAGTTCAGAACATAGTGATTTGAAGAACTTGTGGCTACTTACCCCAGTAGCTTTGAATTTCTGTCATCTCTGAAACAACAAAAGTTTCAATGATGCTGTTAGAAGCAAAGGCAGAAACACAGTACCTATCTTTTCTTTTGAGTGGGAACAGAAAAGGGGTGTCTTTTGAGGCTGTCAGCTGGAGAAGGAGAGGACACCTGGCCCTTCTCAGCTCAGGGTATTTGTCTCTTCTTGCCAGGACTACTTCTCTTTTATCTCATATGGAAATAACATCCACTCCCCCAGTTTGCTCTGACACTATGAGAATCCCACACCATATCCTTTCCCTGGCTCTCCTCACCTTTAAATTTTTGCAGCATCCCATTGAGATCTGGAACTTGGAATGCACTCTTCAGTTTCTTGGGAATAATTTTTGGCTTCTTCAAGGTCCAGATCTTGCTCCTAGAGAAGAAAAGAATTGGTTGCCCACACTTTTGACTTTGTGTCTGTCTCTCCAAGACCCATGTCTCCAATACCCTCCCCTCCATTGATGCCTCCTCACTTGACTTCACTTTTCTGAAAAACCTGAGAGAGAGAGAGGAGTGAGGACCCTGAAATCACAGCCAGAAGAAATGACTTCATGTCTACCTTTTCATTTACCCTCTGAGTGAGCTTGGGAAAGACTTCTTCTCATGAAGACTGTATTCTTCCTTCTAAAATGGAAGAATTAACTCCTTAGTCTTAAGGAGTTAACTCCTACCTCTTAAAAACAATATAGTATTAGATGAAATAATGGTATCTTCAAAAGTGCCTTCAAAAGTTCTTTGGTGCTTTTTAAAAAAAATTTATATAAGAAGTCACTGCTATGTCATTGTTGCCTCTAGAAAGAGGCCAGAAATATGGGTTCTATGGCAGATGGTTAGCAGAGAGGCTCTAGAACTTGGCTACTGAGATTTTTAAGTTATCAAGTATGGGGATCCTGCATCTGAAGGCTGAAGTTCTCCTAAACCTGTATCTCTATAGAGATGCAGAGACTAACATATGAGGTTACATTCTCTGGGAAAACATTACATATCTTTGGGAAATGAGAACCTATGACATCCAATTAATAGTGATCTCAATTTTATGTACTTGAGACTTACCAAGTAGACAGGCAAGTTTAAACATAGAAAACAATTTTTCCCTATAAAATTCTAAAGTGTTTAAGCAAAAAGCAGTTAATTATTGGCATTAGGACTAAAGTCACCATTCCTCCAGACTTGAGTTATTTATTTATTTATTTTAACCCAAAGAATATCACCTAGAAATACTTTGCAAATCTCTCCTGCTGAAAATTTGGGGGCCTGGCAGATAAAGAAGACAAGATCCTACATGTGCCAAGACAGACACCTATGAAGTACAGAAACAAATACTGAGGCAGGGACTGAGGTCTGACTAAAGTGAGTGAAGTCATTGAGTTCTGATGCTGCAATCCCTTACTTCCAATACTTCTATTCACCCAAACTCTGTGACCTCCCACCACATACATTCCCTACCATTAAATAGTTTCACCTGTCATCAATTATTTGAAACTATGTAATACCCAAATTTTTTAAATTATGTGATTTAAAAAAATTATCTGATTTTTTAAAATTATGACTGGCTCAAGAATACTCTTACAGTTATAATTCTGTCATCACACACAAAAAGGACCATGCCTGGTCTCACACACATACCTTGTTAGGACGTTAATCACACCCTGGGGAGAAGAGAGAATACATAAGTCATGTGTAAGGTTTCCACATTTAGAAGATTAACCTGTCTAGTTCAAATTTAATTGTGGACAAATTCCAAATATGTCTTAGTACAATCATCACCTTTGCAATATTTAGGATACTCTTCAGCTAAAAAATGATGTGCTGTTTATCTGAAATTCAAATTTAACTGAATGTTCCTTATCTTGCCTGGCAAATTACGAAGGAGAAATAAGCCCTCCTATGTTATAAAGTTTTGCTCACCTTCCTCCTCACACTTCTAACACCCCTTGATATGGTATGAATAAAAAGATGGTCAGAATAAATAAATGGGGACAAAGTATAGAAATAAGACCTGGATCAAGCATTCCAAGGACTCATGTGAGGATGTTAGAAAGATGCTTCAAGGATCTGGAGATGTAATATATTGAAAAGGAAGAGAGTCAGTCTACAGTTTTTTAATACACATTCATGAGAAGACCCCTTTATTTATTATACTTTGATTTATTCTAGAGACAAATAAAGATAAAATCTTCTATTTGTCAGACATCATTCCAAGTTCTGGGGATAGAAATGAATAATTAGTCATTAGTCTTCAGGCAGTATATTTTCTTCTACTGCGGGAACAAACAAACTAGCCCCTCAAAGAAATGCTCCTCTAGCCTCCCTCCACTCACCCTACATACCTCCTACATGCTACCCAAAGGGAATCTTGTCAAGTTCTATGTATGAAACAGGCCATGGAAACCAGCAGCAGAGAAAGTCTAAAATGTTATTGATTGTTTTCCAACCTTTCACATTCTATTGTCCAGATCAATATCCTCTTCATTACTGACTTAAAAAGTATATCTTACCATAAATTTTAATACCATATTAAGTCAGTTCTGTCCATATGGTCAGCTTCTTTTAGCAATCATCTTTTCCCCATTTGAACATTATTGGCCTTATTTTCTTAATGGAAATATACTAATACATTTGGTTTCTCCCTCTTTAGTCTAAATGCTTTATACCAACAAAGCCTTGGCTGTACATCCTCAAAAAATTTTACTCTCTGTGAGATGCAAACCATAACGAGATACCAATTCACACCAGTGAGAATGGCCATCATAAACAAATCAACAAACAAGTGCTGGGGAGGTTGTGGAGGAAAGGGAACCCTAGTACACTGTTGATGGGAATGCAGACTGGTGCAGCCACTGTGGAAAACTGTGGAATTTCCTAAAAAAACTGAACATGGAACTGCCTTTTGATCCAATGATCCCACTTCTGGCATTATACCCTAAGAATCCTGAAACATTAATTCAAAAGAACCAGTGCACTCCAATGTTCACAGCAGCACAAGTTATAATAGCCAAGTACTGGAAGCAACCTAAGTGCCCATCAGTAAATAAGTGGATCAAAAAACTGTGGTACATTTACACAATGGAATACTACACAGCAGAAAGAAAGAAGGAGTTCCCTCTCTTTGTGACAGCATAGATGGAACTAGAAAGCATTATGCTAAGTGAAATAAGGCAGGTGGTGAAAGAGAAATACCATATGATCTTACCTATAAGTAGAATCTAATCAACGAAACAAACAAGCAAGGAAAATACAACGAGAGACATTGAAATAAAACAAACTGAGAGTAACCAGAGAGGAGTGGGGACAAGGATAATAGGGGAAGGGTCATCAAGGAACATGTATAAAGGACAAGTGGACTAAGCCAAAGGGGATAGGTTCTAGGGTGGGTGCAGGGGATGGGTGGGGGGGGAGCATGGTGGGGTGAAAATGAAGACAACTTTACTTGAACAACAATAAAAAAAATTTACCCTCTATATTAGGATTTGTTGTTATTGTATATGACCAAAAAAAAAAAACAGTTAAAACTGACCTAAATATAAATAAAAACAGAGAGAACGCTAGGAAGTATAACATTTGTAATACCTGGATTCTTAGAAAAAATCTGGTCATTGGGATCTGTTTTTTTTTTCTTTCTCAAAATCCTATTTTCTACCTGCTATATGGACTTTCTTTTCATAATCTATGTGGTGTCAACATGAATGTCCTGATTTAAATGATAATTCATGATATATTACCTAGCAGAAAAGAATATTTCTCTTTCTAGACATAACCCTAAAATTCTAAGGCACACAAATTATTGCCCTGAATTGGGTCAGGTACATATCTTAAAATAACTACTTCATCATTGGTAAACCTATAGGAATTGAATATGCTGATTTACCTAGAATTGAGAGACATATAAATCCCTAAAGCTACAGACTTTTTCAGTCCTAATCAACTACATGGACTGAGAGTAGAGATCGTTCCTCAAAGGGTAATTAAGAGATGGTTATCAAAAAAAATAAATAATTGAATGAGGTTGGATACAACTGTCCTATACAGTCTATCCCATAGCTGACTACCATCTCCTCAACGTATAAAAATCCCACAAGGCTTTTAATAAAAATTACCAAGATATACAAAAATTCTCATAGAAAATTTGATGGACCTAGGGTAGTGTTTCTCAGCTTTGACACTACTGGGATTCTGCCCTCATAATTGTTTGCAATGACCCCTGCCTTGTGCTTTGCAGCTGAATTAGCAGCATTTCTGGCCTCTACTCATTTGATGGCAGTAAAATTCTCCAAATAGTCCCTGTTGCAGAGGTGTTCAAATGGTCTCCAGAAAAAATTGACAGCATAGAATTGTTTTGCCATAGAATTGAATAGGATTACCTTACCCTATTTCAAAATTTTTATGAAGCCACAGTAATTGAAAGCTTAGAATGTTAGTGCAAAGATAAATATAGACATTTATATAAGAGAGTGAGAGTCCAGAAATATATCCTTATATTCCAAACAAATTAATTTTTGGCAAAAGTGCCAAAGTAATTCAGTGGAGAAGGGAGAGTCTTTTCAACAGATATTGAACTGAATTTGTTCATGATTCAACATCTTGGATAGGGTATCCAAGATGGATAGGAGATCCTATCCTTGGATAGGATAACAACTGGAGGATATTGTAATAAATGAAATAATACAGTTGGGGAAAGACAAATAGCATAGGATCTCATTTATAAGAAGAATCTAAAGAACAAAATAGGCTAACAAGCAAAATAGAATCAGAGACACAGAAACATGAAACAGACTGACAGTGGCCAGAGGGGAAGAGTGAGAGGGATAATGGTGAAAAGAAAGGAAGAGACTAGTGAAAGAACATGTATGAATGACCCATGGGCATGGGCAATAATGTGGGGATTGACTATGGGAGTAAGGGGCTGGAACTGAGTGGGCTCAGCAAAGGAGGAAAATTGGGACAACTGTAATAGAAAATAAATAAATAAACCAAAATTCTCAATATATTTCCAAATATAATATATTTGAATTGCATAATTACATTGGGTAGGTTTTATATGTAATTTATAGCTTAATGAATGTGTTTTTTAAAGCACAAGTAAAGATTTAGCAGAGAGAAATTGAAAAGACCCATATTGGAACCAAAGTTAAGAAATTCATGTTCAGCTAGCAAAGGAGAATGGCAAGAAGTCAAACAGAGAAAATATGAAATTTCCTGAGAGACTCTATGTACTTCACAATTTAAGATCACAGTCATGCAGTTAATTTCATGAAAAAAATTAAATGTTCTTATTAAATAGAATCCCTTTATCAAGTCTCTATAGGTTTTCCCTAATCTTTCCCTATCCAGGGAAAACACAAATACACACACAAGTATATTCATACATGCTCACCCTTCACCCAGGTACTAATCTATCATTATATCTGCCACTCCTTAACACAACAACAAAATCAAACATAGAGATGTGAGTTGTTTGACTAAGCTCAGTGAAAAAATGCCTTACAAATACTAGAACACAGATTATAAAAGCCTACAAAGACTCCTCTCAAATTTTTGCATAGGTTTTTTATAAATAATAATAGACTTTCTCTGGCCATTTGTATAATGAATATCTAGATGACATTTGAAATGAATGACAGAGAAGGGGCACTGAGGGGTCAATGAAACCTTTTAATGAGAAAGATGTACAGGGACCCAGAAGGGAAAGAAACTTAATCTCTGTGTTTCCCCCAAATCTCATATGTGGGAGCTCCATCCCAAGTCTTACCTGCAGTGTGTCTACAGATGATTCAGACATGTGATGCTGGAGATCTGAGACTAGCTCGCTCAGGTACTGCTTCTGCTGGACCACCTGGTCTACAGCTGCAGTTAAGTCGCCCAGCACATTCATTTCATCTTCCTCCAGCTTTTGCAGCTCCTTCTGCTCCTCTTTGTCCAGGATATCTCTCATTTCCTCAAACCCTTGCACAATCCTCTCTCTCTGTGTCTGCATACGATACTTTGGGGATGAGAAAAGAAGGAGGAGGCCAATTTTTCATGAGCCAAGATAAGAAATATTTTCCTCAGACACTGAGGAGGTAAAAGGAAAACAGCAAGACCTGGGAAAATCATTTTTCCTACTATTTTCCCTTGAGCTCCACCTAGAGTAATTCATTCAAGTCTGCTTTTTCAAGGCCCACCAGGGGACACAATGTGCTACCTGGTTGAGGCGTGGATTGTAGGCACCTGTCCTGGACAATCATGCCATACTGTATATGAAACTCCTCCACCCATACTTGAAAAACAGAGAATCCTGGACCTCACTTAATAAGTTCTCTGGAAGTATCAGAGCCTCAAACTTGATGATGGAAGTGGTTGATGGGATTCATGAATAATTTTTACATTGCTTCCCTCTAGGTGTTTTCCTCCAAAATGGTTACTTTCACTTGTGACATGTATACTCTATAGCCCCCAACACTTAATAGGGAAAGAACTGAGTGAGGACTAATCAAATGTCTTCTGGACTCATTAATTGTGAGGTACCAAGGAGGATGGGGCTTCCTTCTGTTTAGACCAAGATGTTGTCCATTTTCCTGCCTCAGAACTTCCTAAGGAATAATGTTTTCCTACCACCCAGGTAGCTCTCTCTTCATTGATGTCAGCTTCCAATTGCTCAGCTTCCTGCTGCTCTGGTGTCAGTTTATTCAGAGCTTCCTGGAGCTTCTCCTGTCAGAAAGAAATCACCAAAGTCAAGCTATGAGCTTTCCAAGAACCTGGATTGAGGCTAAATAGAGAAGAAACAAAGCTTATCTCAAAAGAGACTTATGTTTCAGAAATGAAACCCACAATTAGAACTGAGAATGTAGACAGAAATCTGAGCAGGTGAACGTACCCTTTATCCCTGGGTGATGCGAGTTACCACCCCTCTATCAAGAGTACTTTGTATCTCTCTTTTCCTAGAGGAAGACCTGGTCCTGCAGCAAGTAAAGTCCTTTCCTCTCATGGACACTTTTCTCTCCTATAAGCAAATGTTCCTAAAAATCCTGCCTGCTCACAGGGGCAATCAGAACTTATCTTGGGAAGCAACTCTCAGTCACACAACTTCTTGTTGCTAAGATCATGTAGTCTACATTTATTCTTCAAGAAAATGAAAGAATGCACAGAAATGTTCTTCAAGCCTCAGAAGCTGAATCAAGGGTATGAAAACAGAATGCAGGGCTAGTTCTGTGATGACAAGGGGAATAAATAGGATTAAAAAGTGAAGATTCAGCCCTGGCTGGCATAGCTCAGTGGATTGAGCGCGGGCTGAGAACCAAAGTGTCGCAGGTTCGATTCCCAGTCTGGGTACATGCCTGGGTTGCAGGCCATGACCTCCAGCAACCCCACATTGCTGTTTCTCTCTCTCTCTTTCTCCTTCCCTTCCCTCTCTAAAAAATAAATAAATAAAATCTTAAAAAAAAAAGTGAAGATTTCACTTCAGGTATCATCCTGTTCAATGTTTCCCCACCTCAGGTCTTACCTGACATTCTTTGACCACCTCTTCCTTAGGGGACATTTGGTGACCTTGCTGTTCCTGAACACAAAGCCTGCTAAAAGCCTCCTCTTCCTCTTTATAGGAGATTTGGTCATTTTCCACATGGTGCTCAAAGAGATCACTCTTCCTTGGCTGGTGTGAATTCATGTCCACATCCCTGAATTTCTTCACTCTCTCTGCCAGCTGCCAATTAAACTGGAGGTTCCAAGGCTGGTATCTGCTCTGACAAACAGGACAGCAGCATTCCAAATCTTGGGGGCTCCCTGATTCACCATATGCAGTGATGCACTTTTCACAGAAGCTGTGGCCACAGTCCAAGCTCATGGGTTCTCTTAGGAGCTCCCGGCAGATGGGGCAGGTCACCTCTTTTATGCTCTCTTCTGATGAAAAATCCATGGCCAGCCTCCCCTGGCTTCTTCCTGTCCTGGTTCCAGGGGCTCTTCTTGCTCATAAACTCCTGCGGGGCTGGTGATACCAAAGGGGGAAGGATAAGAATGGCGGAAAGAGAAAGGACACTGATGTGCAGAGATTTAGAACAGGACAAAACATTGATATTCAGTTAGGAAAGGAAAAGAGAGAGAGAAGGGTAGGTCAGTGATAGAATGAAAAGGGTACTTGGTAATACTTTCAAATATTTTACTCTTAGTTCATGTCACATGACACATTTCATCTCTTTGAGGAAATGATGGATTGCTATTTTCTCTGTTTCTATTGGATAGATGGACAAATTGAGGCCCTTCCTACCAAGAGCTTTGTGCCTCTCCATCATGAGTCTTATCTAGTTTTCCCCTCCCCCAAACACATCCATGTTAAATACACTAACGTTACTGCAGCCTGCTAGGTGTTCATACTTGCTCTTCTCTATGTGCAGATTGATCCTACCCCTGAATTGGCATGATTTATTTTATTTTAACAATTCAATGGAGTTATATTTATGTCATATGTATTGTTTTAACAGTACAATAATTTCTAGTAAATTTATGGAATAGAATAACTATCACCAAATTCCTTACAACGTATTTATTTTTTGAAAACAAAGCTAATGCCATTAGCAATCACCCCCATTCTGACCCAAAACCTCAGGCTACCATTAATCTCCCTTGTGTTTTCACAGATTTACCTTTACTGATAAATTCATAACAGTGGATCATATGGTCTTTTGAGTCAGAATTCTTCTACTTTGCATCTGTCATTGATATTCACCTCTCCTGCCTTTCTCTCCCACTAAAAAATATATATAATACTAAAATCAAAAAACCCACTGCTGTTTCAGAGATTCTGTACTTGTTGTGTCTGCATGGCATGATCTTCTCCCTAATGTCTGCATGCCTTCTTCTTACATTTTATTCAGTCTCCGTTCTATATGGCCTTTTATCAGAAGGGCCTGCTCCAGTGTATCTACAGTAAAACTGTCAATACTATCATCTGCCGTATATTTGCTATATTTTTCTTATTTTACTTTAAAATATGTAGCATCTTTCTTTAATTGTTTACTTTTTCTTCTTAAAAATGAATTCATGCATAGATTGGGCACCATTCTGTCCACTGATGTGTCCTCTATACCTGGAAGAGTGCATCACACAGGAACACAATGTTTGATGAATATAGAAAACCAGAAGCTCCCCATCTCTCCATGGAAGATTACAACTTTTGAATCAGCTCTTCACTTTTATACTATAATCAGCAGTTCTCCAATACCTGAGAATTGTTTCCTTGCTAACACACCTGTGCCCCACAGAGCATCCCATGCCCTGAAACTCATTCCCCGAGAAACCTACAGAAACAGTAAAGACAACAATAGAGAGGTCATTTTATTACTAACAGTTTTATAACCAGTTGTAATTTAGAAATTACCTTGACCTATTTATTTCTGATATGAAATTTTTGAAAAATGAGTACTCCCTTCTTGGATTAAGGTATATACAAAACAGTCACAAAGTTAACACCAGAATGTAAAAATAGAGCATAGGGAATATAGTCTATAATATGGTAATAACTATGTATGGTGCTAGGTGGGCACTTGAAATATCAGTGGGGGAGGGATCACTCTGTAAACGATATGATTGTCTAAACACTATGCTGCAAATCTGAAACTAAAACAAAATTATACTGAATGTTGACTGTAATTGAAATTTCAATTAAAACATAATAATAAAAATAAATTTAAATATAAAAAAGAATATTCATTAGATGTGTGTATATAATAAATGACGTATGGAGTTCAAAGTTACTCTTTTAAAAAGGGTAGAGGTGTTGGGTCTTGCAATATACCATGCTCAACAGTGCTATTCAGTGTTCTCTCCACTACTGCACAGATTAAAGAGGTAGAGGTTGCAAGAACTAGGTTGACACCCAGCACTTTGGGGGGACGGGGTAGAAACAGAGAGAACATGATCATCCGTGTAGTTCTGAGGAGTCCTGTATTTGTAGATTTTAGGCGGATACCATAGCCAGTACATAAGGCAACATGTCAATAGGCACATAAATGTGTGTGTGTTTTAGGGAGGAAGAGGTGTGTTCATATATTCAGGATCACACATACAACAGAGACCTGAAGGACATAAATTCTACTGAGGTATCTGTCAGTCCTGGGAGAGAAGACTCAATGTGTAAGAATGCCATGTCCTGGAGAAATAAACTGTGTCCTCTTCCAAGCACAGTAAGTGCTATTATGAGTTGAATTGTGTCCTTTGAAAAGATGTTGAATTCTAACCCCCAGAATGTTGGAATGTAACTTTGTTTGGAAATTTTGTCTTTGCAAGTGATCATGTTAAAATGACATCATTAGGATATGTGTTCATCCAACATGACTGTGTCCTTATAAACAGGGGAAATTTGTATACCGATAAGCATGCATGCATAGAGAATGTCCTGTGAAGACAAAAGCAGAGATCAGAGTGATTCACTAGACAAGAAGCAATGCCAGTGAGTACAAGCCAACTATCAGGAGTGCAGCCAGCAGAGAGGGCTGGAACTGTTGCTTCCCTCACAGCTCTGAGAGGAACCAGCCCTGCCAACATCACTGATGTTTTATTTCTAGCCTCCAGAACTGTGAGAAGAAATTTTGGTTAATCCACCAACTTTATAGTACATTTTGTATGGCATCCCTAGAAAACTATATGTTTATTTTTCTTTTATTCATTTATTGTATTATCACTGAAGAAACATTATACCATTGAAACCTTTCCGCTTAAGACAGACAGACAGGGACAAAATGTATTCTTGCCTTTGAAGATGGTCCAATGCATGAGGTTTACAGAGTAAGGTAAGGGCCAACTAGGGTGTCAGTTTTCTTATCTCACTATATCCTAACAGTCTGCACAGGGGCTTTCTGTATCTGTGCAATTCAGACAAGAAAAATGAAAGCATCCTCACAATGTTGAAAAAGTCCTATGAGAGGTTTAGCCAACATCCTTGAAACCTCTCCTGCACCCAGATTCATGGACTACCTGTGGGAACAGGAGCCTGTTGTTGGCACCCAGAGGCCTAGAAACCTCAGGAACATTGCAATCCCTCCCCATTCTTTTGTATTCATTGTTTTTTCTTCTCCCCTACTTCCTTCAAGTCCAGGGTTAAACCACACCAATTTAATGAACCTCCCTGCAAGAGCTCCAGCTCTCAGGTCAATTTGTTTCAAAGAAGGTATTTGGTAACAGAGGCCATCTTCAGAAAGTGACCCGTAGTCTTATCCCTTTCTCTCAGTCAGTTCATCAAAAAACCCTGCAGTACTCTCTTCAAATTAGGTCCTGTCCAACTCAGTCTTTTACCTGGATTCCAGAAATGATTTTCAGGTAAAACCAGTGACCAGGTGGGAGCCACAGAGATGTTCAGCAACCTGGTCGTGCAGGCTTCAAAGGGCTGGCCATTTATCAGGAATGATGTGCACAGCTTCCCACAAGTTACCAAGACAAAAGTAAAAGTATCATGGTCTAGGGCAGAGGTGGCAGGTACCATGTGTGGTCTAAAGATGGAAAGAAAAAGAGCCTGAAGCAGCCCCAGATGCAGGCCAAGAAGACAGACTAGGAAAAGAAGGCATTCAAACAGAAACAAAAAAGGGAGCAGAAGAAACTTTAGTTGCTGAAAGCAAAGGCCATGGAGAAGGGCTGCACAGGACACAGGTGACATACAGAAATCTGGCCAGAAGTAAGCAGTTTCCTGTGCCTGGAAAAATGGTGATCCTTCATTCCATTCCTGTTTAACATCTGGATGCCTTGTCATAACATCTGCTGCCAATTATAGCTAGAATGAATTGTTCTGAAACACATTGTAGTTTAAGAATAATTTTTTATAGAAAATGATAATTTAACAAAAGAGTAAAAGGATCAACTTCAAGAGGATCATATCCCTGGCAGGGTCCCTAAAATCCCTCTCCAATATGCACCAGATGAGGGTTCTTATTTCTTCTGGCCCTCACCAGGAGGTTGGGCTACACAAAGAGGGAGAATAGGACTTCACCTCACAGGCTTCAGGGGAGAAAATAAGGAAGGGAATATCTGCCTGGGAAAAAACAAAGGGTATGAGTAATCTGGCTCACCTTGGCAAGGTAGAAAGTCAAATCTACAGAGTAAGAGGAAGACAAGGGTAAGTCAACCTGGACAAATAATGGTCACTCCAAGAAACATATAAAAGGGACTTCTAGCCAAGATGGAGGTGTAGATAGACACACTGTGCCTCCTTGCACAACCAAACTAAGGACAACAATAATTTAGAAACAAAAAACAACCAGTACTGACAGAAAATTAAACTGTATAGAAGTCTGACAACCAAGGAGTTAAAGTAGACACATTCATCCAGACTGGTAGGAGGGGCTGAGTTGGGCAGCCAGATGGAGAGGGGTTGCAGCAAAACAGTGGCTGGCAGACCCTGGGCATGCAAGGCGGCAGCAGGCGGACCCAGCGAGGCGGCAGATTATGGAGGGGCGTGGCACACAGGTGGCTGGTGGACCAGGCTGTCCCATATTCGCGCACAGATAAACCAGGTGAAACTGGGGAGTGAGACAGATGTCACAACCCAGGGTCCCAGCTCAGGGAAATAAAGCCTCAAACCTCTGATTGAAAACACCTGTGGGGATTGAGGTGCCGGGAGAGACTCCCAGCCTCACAGGAAAGTTTCCTGGAGACCCACAGGGTCCTAGAATGGGCATAAGCCCACCCACATGGGAATTAGCACCAGAAAGGCCCAGTTTGCTTGGGGGAAGCGGCAGAAGGGACTGAAATCTGACAGAGAGTGGAGCAAGCACCATTGTTCCCTCTTGGATCCCTGCCCCACATACAGCATTACAACCCAGTGACTGGGTTGTCCTGTCCCAGTGAACACCTAAGGCTCCACCCATCACTACATAACAGATGTGTCAAGACAAAAAAAAATAGCCCAAATGAAAGAACAGAACAAAGCTCCAGAAAAAAATACAACTACGTGACAAAGAGATAGCCAACCTATCAGATGCACAGTTCAAAACACTGGTAATGAAAATGCTCACAGAATTGGTTGAATTTGGTCACAAATTAGATGAACAAATGAAGGGTACACTAAGTGAAATAAAAGAAAATGTACAGGGAACCAGTAGTGATGGGAAGGAAACTGGGAATCAGATCAATGGTGTGGACCAGAAGAAAGAAAGAAATCCAATCAGAAAAGAATGAAGAAATAAGAATTCAAGAAAATGAGGACAGGCTTAGGGACCTCCAGGACAACTTTAAACATTCCAACATCCAAGTTACAGGAGTGCCAGAAAGAGAAGAGGAAGAACAAATTGAAAACTTATTTGAGCAAATAATGAAGGAGAACGTCCCCATTCTGGCAAAAGACATAGACTTCCAGAAGTCCAGGAAGCTCAGAGTCCCAAAGAAGTTGGACCCAAGGAGGAACATACCAAGACACATCATAATTACCTTAGCCAAGATTAAAAATAAAGAGAGAATCTTAAAAGTAGCAAGACAAAAGGAAAGAGTTACCTACAAAGGAGTTCCCATTAGACTGTCAGCTGATTTCTCAAAAGACACCTTACAGACAAGAAGGAGCTAGAAAGAAGTATTTCAAGTCATGAAAGGCAAGGACCTACATCCAAGATGGCTCTATCCAGCAAAGCTTTCATTTAGAATGGAAGGACAGAAAAAGTACTTCTCAGATAAGGTCACGTTAAAGGAGTTCGTCATCACCTTTATTATATGAAATGTTAAAGGGACCTATCTAAGAAAAAGAAGATAAAAAACACGTACAGTAAAATGACAGCAAACTCACAATTATTAACAACCACACCTAAAACAAAAACAAAAGGAAACTATGCAAACAACTAGAACAGGAACAGAACCACAGAAATGGAGATCACTTGGAGGGTTATCAACAGGAGAGTGGGAAAGGGAGAAAGGGAGGAAAAAGGTACAGAGAATAAGTAGCATAGATGGCAGGTAGAAAATAGACAGGAGGAGGGTAAGAATATTATGCGAAATGTAGAAGCTAAAGAACTTATCAGTATGACACATGGACATGAACTAAAGGGGAGTAATGTGGGTAGGAGGGAGTGTGCAGGGTGGAGGGGAGTGAAGGGGGAAAATGGGACAACTGTAATAGCATAATCAATAAAATATATTTAAAAAAAGAAACATGTAAGACTCTGCTCTTTTAAACATCCCTTCTTTGAAGGTCACTCTTTCCCAAGATTCAATGTTCCTCTTTCCTGCCACCTCAGCACAGAAAGTCACAAGCAGAGCAGCTTCAGAACCAGTATAAGTCACCAAACACATTCAATCTGTTCTCCCAAAGCCTCCTGTCCTTTGCCCTCAGAAACTGCCCCACTTATCTTCAGGAGAAGTACAGTTGTCCTGAACCCCAGTGAGAAGATCAGCTGTAGGCCTGCTCAACATTTACTCACCAAGCCAGAGATCAGCTCTCCACAGAGGAGCTCCCCACAGGAAAAGGGTGAGAAATGAAACTTAAATTCTTAGGAGTGGAAATGAAACCAAGGGAGAAGAGAAACTTAAGAACAATGCCACCTAGTGGGACACTTGGGAAAGTTAATGCCTCAGTAAGTTCTAGGACCTACCCCAGCACAGCTCTCAATCACTGTGGTTGTCTCCCTTTTGCAAATTATTCTAGCAAGAATATTTGAATAGGGGGAATGTGAATTCCAATGATAGAGTCTTCAGCTTGACTGAATTCTCAGAATTTCAGTTCAGTTCTATAACTATCAGTTAAGCTTCTCTGTATTCAGGTCCTAAACAACTTACTAGGGATGAACTCATGATCCAGAAAGTCTGGGGACCTGCCCTTTGTAATGCAGAGTGTGATGGGGAAGGTAATTAGGGAAAGAGCTCTGTTAATTTGAGCTCAGTGGTGACAGCTGTCATTGTGACAGGTAAAAATAAAATTTTAGAAAGTGTTCTTCACTGTGAGCTTACTGAGAAAAAATTTCCACAACATTGGTTTAGGAGTCCACCAGTTAATTTCCAACTTTTGCTCCTGACTTAGGCAGACCAGATGAGAAAGCTTTCCAGACATAATGGTGGCACAACTGTGTCATTGACAAGTTACCAGCAACCAGGAGGTAAGCAGATGGTGCTGTTCAAGTGTAGCCTTTCTCTGGGTAACACTCACACCTCCATAATCATGTACTTTCCCCACTGCCTGTGGAAAAAAACTTGGTCCTTTTTACAGCATGAGTCAAAAGCAGAACTGAAATAAATTAAAAATAAAAAAGAATAAATTTACCTGGCTGGTGTAGCTCAGTGGATTGAGCGCGGGCTGGGAACCAAAGTGTCCCAGGTTTGATTCCCAGCCAGGGTACATTCCTGGGTTGCAGGCCACAACCCCCAGCAACTGCACATTGATGTTTCTCTCTCTCTCTCTCTCTCTCTCTCTCTCCCTCCCTCCCTCCCTTCCTCTTTAAAAATAAATAAATAAAATCTTTAAAAAAAAAGAATAAATTTAAAAGGGTCAACTAATGCATGACATAGTATAACAATTAAATAAAAATAAGTATATATATGTTTTTTTTTAAAAAGCAGAGCTGAAACATTTCTATTCCCTATATATGCTTTCAAGTACTGTTACCTGTCTTGTTCTGAGGATATGTTTCAGATGGTGCAGCTACAAGACAGGGAGGGTCCAGACAAGGGTCCCTGACTGACAACTCCTCAGAACTCAGGCATCTTCATACACTAACTCATATGAGATGCAGGACGACTGAATCATCAATGTTTTTCTAATTAAAGCACAGATATCAACAAAGAACAAGTGTTGGAGAGGTTGTGGAGAACAGGGGACCCTAGTGCACTGTTGGTGGGACTGCAGACTGGTACAACCACTATGGAAAGCAGTATGGAACTTCCTCAGAAAACTAAAAATGGATCTGCATTTTGACTCTGCAATTCCACTGCTGGGACTCTATCCTAAGAACACTAAAACACCAATCCAAAAGAACCTTTGCACCCCGATGTTCATAGCACCACAATTTACAATAGCCAAGTGTTGGAAGCAACCTAGGTGCCCATCAGTACATGAATGGGTCAAAAAACTATGGTACATTTACACAACGGAATTCTATGCATCAGAAAGAAAGAAGGGGCTCCTACCCTTTGCAACAGCATGGATGGAGCTGGAAAGCATTATGCTAAGTGAAACAAGCCATGCAGTGAAAGACAAATACTATATGATCTCACCTTTAACAGGAACCTAAACAACAAAACAAAGAAACAAGCAAAATATAACCAAAGACAGAGAAATAGAGGACAGACTGACAGTGACCAGAAGGGAGAGAAGAGGGAATTTCAGGGGAGAATGGGAAGGGTTTACAGGAATGAATTTAAAGGACACATGGACAAAAACTAGGGGGAGGGTGATAATGGGAGACAAGTGGGGAGGGTTGGGTGGGTGGGCTGGAATGGGAGTAAAAGGGAGAAAACTGTACTTGAACAATGATTAAAATTAAAAAAAGGGAAAAAAAGCACAGATATTTTGGTATTGTTGGTAAACCACAGAAGAGTAAGTTAATGCTGTATCATAAACTCTTCTTGATTCACTTACGTCTATGAGGCAGGAACTGTAATTAATATAGGCAAACTTGCTGAGCCATATTAACAGTTTTAGTTTTAAGGGTATCAAAGAAGTTATTCCTAACAAATAAACTCATGATGCTTTGCAGGTGCTATGACAACCATGTGAATTTTGCAGCAACTGCATTCCAAAAGCTGGCCCTTTTTCCTTTATTATCTTTGTCATCACATGATACTATCATTGAGTATTCCTCTTCATCCAGTCCTACACCCAACAACATTAAGATTTATGAAGGTGTGAAGGGACCTCTGTTATTTTTTATTGTGTCAAATTTAGTACAAAACATTGTATATGGGGGTGATATTTAAATAGACATAGTTATATTGCTATGGATGTCATTTTAATTACATTGAACATGCTAGTGATAATCATGGTGTTGCTCTATTGGTGGTGTTGCTGTCAACATAATTGCTGTGGTTATAATCAAACTCTGCTATATTAGCTGTGGCCAACATTCCAGCATATTATGTTCTGCAGCCCAGGGAATAATACATTCTCCTTATGGCTCTGTGTTCCCTTTAGTCCCTACATCTATCTCCTGTTGGAGAGGAATCTAATGACAGTTCTTCCACTAATGATTTTTAACTGTTTCTGGACTGAGAAAAACACAGGGCACAGAAAGCAATGTGATTAGAGTATGGTGGTGTAGATGAACAACAGGAATTGAGATAAGGATCTATGTACATCCTAAAACAAACCAGAATATAAAACTTGTTTATAATTTAGCTCTTGCTTTCTCTCTCACTCTCTCTCCAGCCCCTACCCACATTCTTCACATCCTCCCTTATTTCTTAACAGAGATTCATATTTCAAAATGCTTCCAAAGGCTGCACATTCACAGCTACATTCATGCCTCTTGAGGTTCTTGCAACACATCCTCACAACCTGCCCCATCTCACACACACACACACACACACAAACACACACAAAAATCTCTCTTGCCTCCAAATTCATATTGTTAAGAGATCACAAAATTCCAGTTATCTGGATATCAGAATTATTTTTTACTCCCCTTTTTCCTACTTTCCATACCTCATTTAATTCCTTAGTCGTATTGAGTGTCACCTTGAAAATACTCTTTCTCTTCTTCACTTTCCTCTGAAATTCACTGTAATGCAGCAATCAGCAGTGAGGTAATCTCAGGAACAGGGGATGTTTGAAGTAGAAGAAGGTATAGGTGATGGAAAAAATTGAAAAATAAAATGATTTGTACTGTTTTTAATTTGAAAGAATTTTTAAAACTAACACAATTGGGTTCTACTCACACAGAGCAGGCTTGTAATGCTTATTGACACCAAAAAACATGTTCTACTCATTTTTAAATAAAATTTGTATCTTATCATCTTCAAATTATTTTTTCATGACTGTTCCACACCAATGATTCTTAAATTCAATTCTTGGATAGTCTGAAACACAGCCACCTAAAAGACCTTTACATAAATGCAGATTCCTCAGTCCCACACGAGGAGATATTTATCCAAGAAATTTAAATCTAAATTTTTAAACCTATTCCTAAAGAAAGCAAATGCATGGACAGAACCCTGAAGTCTTGCATCACTGTGTTTGAACAACAATGGCCACCTGCCTCAGGATATTGTGGTGAGTAGTAAAAATAATTTGTTGGCCAGTGCTTTGTGAAAGTAAGGGGGCATAGAAATGCCAGGTACTTAGAAGAATGTTAATATTTTTACTTTGCCTCCATCATACAGATATTATTACACAATATTATCAAGGGGTTTTGAAACTGTTAATGATTGGTATGTATAGGGAACTGGGGTGAATTTGGGATGTCCTAAGTTATTAGAGACATAAATGTTCTCTTTAAATAGGAAATCAAATATTTTTACAGTGATTACAGCACTTCAAAACTTATTATCAATGTCCTTTTCAACAATGTACTATTACATCTGAGGCTGACAACTGGTGAACTGTAAATTGAATAGCACCTTTTACGTTGGATTGGAAATCTCCCATTTGTTGCTACTTTACCACAATTCTAGGGAAGGGAAGGATCAAAGAAAATTAAGACTAGTGACTCAATTAAGTGTGCTTGAATTGTTGGAGAGCGTTCTACTTTTTACAGATAAGTTATAATTGGATGAAGTAGATTAATTAAGAAACATCTATATAAATGACAGACTGAAGGTTTAAATAATTATTAAAAGTACAAAACACTTAAAATTATTATGGACTGTTCTTAGCTGATTTTCAGCAGCACCAAGGTTCTATCTTTCATATGAGCAGATCTCTGAATATTTTACAAATCATAATCATGGCATCACTTCACTCGCCTTCATTGTGCAGCTACCTTTGAGTAAATAACAATTTAACAATCATAATACAACTCCTTGATACATTATTCTCTCTTAAAATCTTTAAGGGGATTTATTACTGTAGTAATTGCAATAATAATAGCTAGCCATTTTATTATGCTCTCCCTTTGACCTATATATAGACGAGAGTCATGATGCAGTAATATAATCATGATAACTTTCTAAGCAACAAAAGAATTGGCCAAAAAACAATTGGTCATCAAATCCAGTCACATCTTATATTTGCACCTTCTCCTCCACTTCCTCAACCATGAGGATAAGTAACCTGTTACATCCTAAGGTGATTTTTGTGGCCATTTTTCTAGTATCTTTGCCAAAAGAAATCTCAAGTTACCACTGATGTTCTTCACCCTCCTAGAAATCTTCCCTATGGAACAATTCTTTTCTTAGCCATGACAGATATTTAAGTACTCTAGCATCATCCCTAATGCTTTGTATTTTAAGAGAAAATACAACAATACAAAACATCTGGGACAAGAAATCTAAATCTTCTAAACTTGATATCTCCAGATTCTGCTAATGCACTCTCCTTGCATTTGTATTTTGCCTGTCTTTCCCTTATCATACTTATAATCATGTCTTCATTTGAACTGTTATTTGTGTAATGTCTGCTGCCTGCTCCAAGTGAGCTATAAGTTCCATGAGGGCAGTGACTCTGTCCACCTAATCCGGAGATATATTCCCCACACAAAGTATGGTACCTGACATATGCTTAGTGTATATATTTTTTCTGATGTCCTGGGGACTAAGCATATGGGTATAATCTTTAAAAATATTTGTTTTAAGAAAAAAATGAATGATTGAAAATGAATATACATCTGAGATCTGAGCCCAAGGCATTTGTTATATTGTTATTTTAATTATGTTACATGTACTTAAAACCAATACTACTTCTTTGGCCAAATGCAAGCATGCTGTTAAAAAGTTCAATAAAGAGACTGGGAGGTCAAAAGTATTTCATTCTAACAGCAATTGGTTAGGTATTATTTTATTACATTTTTCTGACATTAATATCCTTGAGGACTATCAAGCAGGTTCACCTGATCAATTGTTCCCTCTCTACCATCTCTATCTACTGAAAGTTATCTTCCAATGATTAAGTAACAAGCATAGACAGGGTTTTCTCATTGGAAGTGTTTGAGGCACCTCAGCAATCTTATGAGTGTATATGCTTGCTGAGCTGAGGAAGTGCCTGTATATGAATCTGCTTCCAAGAGATGTCTGCAAAGGTACATGTGGTTTGGGGCAACTGAGGTTGCAGCTTGGAATAGCAGGAAGAAGCCTTGCTCTGTAAGTTCTTGTGTTCAACATCTTTGACTATATTCTTGGAGAAATCTAAACTATGATGCAATCATGGGTGTCATTCAAGAAATTGGAGGAGGCCACTGCTGTCAAGAGATATTTTTTTAAAGTATTAAAAGTTCGGTAGCTGAGACCCTTACAGAGGCACCAGATGCAATATATTTTTATGAATAATAAAATGATTAAAACTCAATATGATGGAATCTAAAGAACTCAGACCACTTCAGGAGAGGAAGCCTGGAAAGAAAGATAGTGAAGTCAGATAGCACTGGTGTGAACTTCAGACAGGAAGTTGTTATTAATAAATAATTCACAATTTTGTCCAGAAATGCCCCTATACATTTCTGGACAAAATTGTCCTAATACATTTCACTTGTTTAATTTTTATATTTATTTATTGTTATATGTTTTGGAGGCTAAAATAGACAGGCAGGTGAGAAATGAACCTGGGTTATCTTGGGATCCCAAGTGACAAGAATGTGTTCCTTTTTAAATGATGAGATGAATTTTGAAAAAAATATTCAACAAGATCTATTCATTTCTCATCCCTGGATAATTATGAATTATTTTTTTAAATTAATTTTTACTTACACTCTTATGGATATACAGGGAAAACGAAGACACCCCATTTCCTTCCTTCCTTCCTTCTTTCCTTCCTTCCTACCTACCTTCCTTCCTTCCTTCATTCATTCATTTTTATTATCTGTCTGGGAATTGTGTGTTCAAATACCATCTGGGTTACCAGAAAACTGTTGCTGTTGAAAATAGGTTCTTTTGTGGTGTCCTGAGAAAGGAACTTCAAAGGGCAGGCACATGGAAAAGAATAAATGTAGTGATAAGACTTTGTGGGGGTGAAGAAAAATAATAGACCCTTGGAGATGTAGAGGACAAGCAGAGTCCAGCAGTCAGTGCCCCAAGAATCCTGATAAACCTCCGTATGTTTTCTTGGTTCTCATAATGAGAAAGCTGCCATCTAATCCACTTCTGATTTTCCCTGGCCCAGTTGGGGCCCTCCCCCTAACCAATCCTCCTTGACCCACTGAGGTTTGCACCCCCTCTCCAATCTGATTGTTTTCCCAGGCTAAGTTCTCTTTCTTTGTGTCACCATCTTAACTTCTATGGCTCATGTCCAGAATTTGTGCTGTGTCATCTGGTGCATGTGCTTACATTGCCTTAGTCTATTTTCACTTGTACTGTGCTTGTGTCCAGCAGAGAAATTTCCCCTCTATCCACCCCACCCCAAATCCTGACACCTAGACATCAGTGCCCCATGAATATTTCCCTGTCATATCTGAGGATTAAGTCTTGAAGTCAGAGATCTCCTGGAGTGCATGAATGAGTCCATTAGTGCTATAGGATCCTAGTTAATTAGGCTTATTAGAATGCTGTAACTTCCTAATGAAGCAGTCCCAGCATCTCATTTAGTTTCCCCAGTTTATTAGGCTTCATATTTGATTCAGCTCCTTAGTTTATTATGCTATCTCTATCTACCTAGTTATTTTAATTCCTACATCTTTGGGGGAAGAGCTGAGAATTAAAATGCCAAAAGACCAGAGGAATTCACCAAGTCCTGAATTGCTGAGAAGATCCATTGCAGAAATAATGCCTCTGCTATCTCATTGGAGGACAAGAACTGGCTTATCCCTTTGTTCCTGAAATCTTTCACTTCACTGCAAAAGTGAGGCTGACCTGGGGCATGAGAGGGGAATGATTATCTATACTGTTGTTAAGAAATCCAACAATTGTACTTCTTATACCTATTGTATTACTGTAAATAATGACTCTTTAAAGCAGGGCAAACAGACTGAAATGAGATTCAATTTCAATGAAGTATATTTACTAAAGAAAAGTGAAAAAATTGGACTAGGAAGTTTTACAGAAATTTATTTTTTAATTAGCTCAAATTTAAGGAAGTTGTAATTCTTTCATCAAGTTATTTTATTTCTTACAACAAAGCAATGATTATAATGTTGAAAGAAAACTACTTAAAATTATTTATTTCACTCACAGTGAGAGGCCCAAAAATGAATATACAGCATACTTGATCACTATTTATATGCTAGAAATGATAGAAGTTATTGGAAACATTGTTATTTAACTTTTACAATAATACATCAAATAAAAATATTTTTTATTGTACAAATGAGAAACTGACTCTTCTAGAATTTAGGTTAGTTGATTAGGGTTAATATATAGTAACACCAGAAGTATAATAATAATTTTACCATCACACACACATAAAACCACACTGATCTGTCATGGGCAGAGCTGGAGTAATCTTGACAGTAACACTGATGGATCTGGGATCTGAAACATGAGAATTTGATAAAAAACCACCCCATTGCCCCTATAGGCACAAACCTGTTTCAGAGGACCCTGGCATAGCTTATATTTTTAATTAGTAGAGAAATTGTTTAAGTTATATGTTTTATGCTTCATGGCATTTTTCTTCTCACAATAATCCTACCTATGGTGTAATTTCTATATTGGGATTGTTTTAAGAAAATAAAATCAGCATTCAAGTATCTTATTCAAGGTTCACTGTGTGCATTTGGAGAGGCTGGACTTGAACTCAGACACTGTAGACACAAAACTCCACTCAGTACATGTTATTTCTAAAAATTCTCCTTTATTCCTTGATGGATAAGGGACACATCCCTGAGGACTCATTCAGTAGTGAATGACTCCTATACAAGGCCTTTAATCATATACAAAATTTTTGAAAAGTTTTCATTCATCTTGCCATTCAGCAGCAGAGGAAATGAGATTGTAAATATTGGTAGAGATGTCACTTCCATAACTGCATTTTTATGAGGCAATAGTCATTTTCTTTGAGAGTAGAGGAAAAAAAGGATGAATTAGGATTCTCTATTAATGCATACAAGATTTTGAAGAAATGTGACCCGAGGCAAATTGTATACCCTCATGATGAATGATGGGTGATCAATGGGGAAAACGAGGAGGGGCAGCAAGAAAAAGATGAGAGAATGGTTCAGATAAACTCAGTTCACTAGATGTATGCAAGGCCAGTGGCACTACATAGAGGTGGTTGAGGGTGTAAGTGATTTAAGAACTTGGAGAACATAGTGTCATGGGACCAGCACATTTCATAAGATTGAAATATGGACAAATTTTCTGAGGAAAGGAATATGAAGAGTATTTATAGATGAAAAACTCATGGTTCATGATGTTAAAAAATGAGACAGTGCCAGCATCATAGCCTAGGAAAACCCCAACGCTACAGGGAGGAAAAATTGGGGAGAGGGTTAATTTCAAGGGATCAGAGGAGGAAGATTCTGCAAAAGTATTATATTCAAATTGATTCTCTAATCCTATAACCCAGAAGCCATGTTTAGGTTGATATCTAGAGTAAACATGTTGACAATTGTCATGTTGTCTAACAAAACTCTTCATGTTTGAGTCAGGGGATTTTCCACCACATACCCCCAAGACACAGGCATGTACCACTGACACATCTACCTCCCAGTAATGTTTCCCTGATGTAATAAATGGTGAACCCAGGACACCAAATTGATCTAATCATTATTAGACCATCTCAAAAGTAATGTAAGAAAGGGCATTCTCATTTTTCTCTGATCCTCAGAAATGACAATCTTTGATTCATCTTTGGGAGGATCCAAGGTCACATGAGCTGTAGAAAAATTATAGGGTATAAAAAAACTATGATTTACCATTATTTGTGATATTATAAGGGAGATCTTGAAAGCAATGTGAGTGGGAACTAGAAAGAACTCTATTCTTGGGGAGAGGTATAACACTGGAGAAATATAATATACATGTGTGTGCATTGAGGAGGAAATCATGGGTCTTAAGACATGAGACCCAGCCCGAGTCAGGTAGCTCAGTTAGAGCATTATCCTGATATGCCAAGGTTGCAGGTTCCATCTCTTGTCAGTACACATACAAGAAGCAGCCAAGGAATGCATAAATAAGTGGAACAACAAATTAATATTTCTCTGTCTTTATTGCTGTCCCTGTGTCTGCTTCTCTCTCTCTATCTCTCTCTCTCCCCTCTAGGTTTCTCCCTAAAAAATCATTTAAAAATTGGAAAAAAACCCCACACACGACCTAGTAGAAAATGGAAAATTCTATAAAAAGATGAGGACAGGGTGGCATCATGGTACTGTGATTTCTCCTTACTCCAGTAGCAGTGCACATATGGCAACCCTGAAATGATAAAAATCCATAATAGTAAATAGAAGCAAATGAGCCAAAACTAAACTTTATTTTCTGGCCAGATAAGGGGATACTAGGGAAATGTGTGAGGTAGTAAACAGAAGAATGAGAGGTAAACAAGACAGCTGGTCACTCCCCATTAACTATGGCTACATCATCAGCACATGATATCCATTCTCCTTTGTCTCCTCTATCCACACCTAGAAACTAAACCCTCCTCCCTCTTTTACTCCACCATCATCAGACACCCAATAGCCACCCACCAGCTCTGGCATTCCCACCATGAAACACTTGTAGGATCCCACTCAGGTCAGGAGCTTGAAACACTCTGCCTTGATTCTTGGAGACAGTTTTTGGCTTCTTCACAGTGAAGGGCTTACTTCTAGAGATGACAACATAAGATTCTCACACCTCTGACTTTTTGGCTCTATACAACTGCTGATTTCTGTCTCTTCACCCCACTAAGCACTTGAGCCTCCTTCCATGGACCCCTGAGAAAGGAGAGAGCAGAGTTTTGACTTTGGAGCCAAAGGAAAGCGCTCATGTCTAACTTTAGAGTACATACTCTATGTTCTTAGGCAAGCCTTGACCTTGCAGAAGCACAGTTTAATCCTTTCAAAATGAAAAGTTAACCACCACCTCTCTTACTAGCTGGAATCATATAAAATGACATAATTTTTTAAAGAGGAAACTTTGGTTCCTTAAAACAAAACAATGTGAGGAAAACTCACCAAATGGATGTGGAGAGATATTACATGAAAGTGAGGTTGCAGAACCTGGTTGCTAGTAATCTGAGAGATACCACTACCCAGTGAGGGACTACTGTCTGGAGGACATCAGGACTTTAAAGTCTGCTCCCCATAGGGAGGCTCTCAGAATAAAATCTGAGATTTAGGGTTCTCTGGGGAAAAAAACCATCACACTTGGAAAAGAAGATATCATGTATACCAAACTAATAGCGGTCAGCATTTTATGTGTTTGAAAGAGCTTGTTGCAGCCACATAGGTGTGTAAATTTAGACTCAAGGATGCTGCCTTTTCATTCTTGCTTCAAAAGTGCATGGTCAAGAGGGATCAGTTGTTTGTACCAGGCCCAAAATATTTTTGTGATTCGAATCTGTTTTGAAAAATAAAGAGAACTGCAAGGAAGGGACCTGGTTTCTTATATCCCCAAGGGAGAAATTTAAATATAAGAGTTCACTCCAATTCTGTGTGCTTGGCAAGTAAAGAAGACACAACCTACCCATAATAGATAAAGTCACTGTGAAATATAGGGAACCTGAGCTAGATACAGGCATGCTGGTTGAGTAAAATTATGAAGTTACAAGGATCTGATACTGCAACATCTCAACCCTAAGAGCTGCTGACCCATCTCTGCAACCCCCACATTCTAAATTTCCCACTACACAAAATGGCCCATTTGCAATAGTTAGAGAACACTCAAACCATGAAATGTGAACAGAAATTTAAGATAAAACTACATCTGAATTTTCCTACCCTGAGAGATATTTTATTCTAATTATCCACCAGATAATTTTAATGGCTTTTAACCTCTTTTCACAGTACCAAAGGGCCATCTCTGGTCTCCCACACATACCTTTCCATTATGTCATTCACATCCTAGGGAGAAAAGAGAAAACATGAGTCAAGGAAGTAATAAGCCTCCTCACATACAAAGCTTCACCATATCCCTATCACCTCCTGATATGCTGGGAATACAGATGGTCCCAAAGTGAGAGGCAACAAGTAAAGAGAAGTCCACATCAATCACTCAAGAAGACTCATGTGAAGTTTTCAGGTTTCCTAAAAGGCAAAATAAACTGTCACCTTGTGGAACAACAGCATGAGGCTTCTACTACCTTGACATGAGGTATTTTTATGAGGAAAACATGAGACCCATGATATTTTACTCATGTTTGCAAGGCTCTCATGAGATAATTTGAATAAGTCATGGCTTGTTCATTTATTAAACATGAATATAAAGTGATGTATAATTATTTGTCAAGCATGATGCCATAATTGGGAGAATCAAAGATGAGTAGGTATAGTATTCCTAAGAAGTTTACATGACTTGTACTGAAGATACAAACAAACGAATTGTATTAAAGTAGGCTTTTCTCAAGTCTCTGCTCATTTTATACACTATAATTGGCCACATCCACTCCTGAAATTCAACATACACAATTGATTTCCAAGTTTTATTTTTACTCAGTTTTATCTCTTAAATGCAGGTTAATATTCCCTAGTAAAGAAGCTACAGGAACTGGTACCTTAGGATGCTTAATATGTACCTTACTCTTCACCAAACAAATTGTCTCCTCCCTTATACCCCTTTTTTCATGTTAATAATATCTCCTCAGTCACTCTCCTAAACACTACAACATTTACCTACATCTCATTCTCTATGGAGCCAGTTTATTCCACATTGTTAACAGTTTGTCATCTGAACTTCTTTATCATCACAGATTTATTTCTTGGAATACATATGTACCAATATATTTGGTCTTCTCTATCTCAGATTAACTTTTTCCATGACACCATAAATTAGGCAAAATGCTGGGTTTACACACACACACACACACACACACACACACACACACAACATTGATTTGTTTTCAGTATTAGGGATTTGTTGCAGTATGATGAAAAAGAATTCAAAATAGATGAAGTAAAGAAAAGGAATCTGGAGGACAGTTTTCATTTTAATCAGAGCTTAATTCTGAAACTCATACATGGTAATTGGTATTTGGTCTATGTCATTCTCCAAATTCTATTTATGTTTTCTGTATTGACTTTCTCCTCAGTTCATCAGGAAAACATGAATCTCCTCATATAAATCCCATAAAAAAACTTGTCTTCTCAGTTATTTCAAATAATCCTGAGGCCTGAATGGCACTGGCTTGTATTGGATCAAGTGCCCATATTAAATCATTACTGTGTTGTGGCTGTAATACAGACAGCATCCTTGGAGGAAAATACCCATATTTTACTGGAATTAATTTTGTATTAATCTGAAGTAGATCATGATAAAATAGGATGCATACTGTATTTAGAAAAGCAACCACCACAAAAATAGGAAATAGTAAAACTTAAAATTTTATACTAAAAGTATCTGTTTAACTCAAAATAAGCTTGTTGAAGCAAAAGAGAACAATGAAAATTGCTGGCAACATAAAGAAGCAAATAACAATATAAACTAAATAGAGCTACATGAGCATTGCAATAAATATTCTTGTCTTAATCCACCAAATAAAAGGCAGAGATTCTTGGACTAGATGAAAAGCAATTTAATGATTGCTAGCTACATGAGGCTTATTTTGGAGTCAAAGGTACAAATAAGGCAAAAATAAATTGATAGAATTTACTGGCTGACACCACACCCTCCTAAAAGGTAAAGAATCAGCAGAAATTTCTTGGGTACAGAGGGACTACCTGAGAAATTAGATTAAGTACCTAGGAACAAACAGTCAACATCAGGCTCTTTCTTCCCGTACAAGTAATATTCGCTCACTCTTCTAAAAAGTTGGGTATTTGGCTTTGTTTTTGTTTTCTGAGAATCTTACGAGGCTACAATAAAGCAGAAGTTCACTTGCATTGCAAGGCCATACTATTGACTGTTGGGGACCGCCCTGACTGGTATCAGAGGCTGAAACCCCCGCCTAGCTAAGGCTAAGGGAACGCCCTTGGAACTGTAAGCCAGCAAGGAGACAAAAGCTTATCTCCCTGGCAGGAATGCTGCTTCTGCTGCTTTATTCATGACTGAACCCCCCAAAAGCTTGGTCGGTTAGCCAAAGACGGGTAAGATTCCCCACGGGGGGAACGACCTAAGCCAGGCACGATCACTTTGGGAGGCCCCCCAAAAGAAGGACTTGGGGGGCTGCAGCAAAAGGGGGTGATGGACCCTCACTCCTTGACTTTGACAAAGCCTGAGTTCTCAGCGTCTGGAAGAAAATCTCCTTATCTCTTGGTTGCCTTAGTTCCCTTGCTCCACCTAAGCCTGAAACAATGACAGGGTGGTGCAGCTCGGTACTGAGAAGTGCAGATTCCCTGGGTGATCAGGCCTAAGAAAGAACATGTAAATTACTGTGAAACCTTCTTTGTTTAGAATGCTCTCAGTTGAATGAGAAGGGTCTTAGGAGGAAGTTAGTTTGTTCCTCAGTCTTACAGCTCTTTGACCCCCCAACTCAATAGACCGGCAGAGTTCTTTGTTTTCTATAGTTCCTTACTTCCCCTAATGAGTACTGTACTTTACCTGAATTATTATGCAAAATGAGCCTAATAAAAGCAGGTATGGACGGTAAATCAGCGTGCTCCCCACTAGGGGGGGGGGTGGCCATTCTGTCCCTACTTCCCCACAGAAACTAGTCTGTCTCTGTGCATGTGTTGTTTTTTCTCGCGTGTGTTTCGGCGAGCCATCCACAGCGTTCCATGGTCACTGCTGGCCGGTGACCCACGCGCAACAATTGACAGCAAAAATAGCCTGATGTGGAAAGCTCAATTGGAGGACTTCCTATAGAACTGAAATGCCAGTTAATATGCTGGCACTTAGACTTCATTTTTCATAACAGGATCATGACTTTTATAACTGACACTGTCTCCTCTAAGCCCTTGGATGATGTGCTTATAGACTTTCACAAGGAAAACAGTACAGTGTAACTCTGGGCTGACATAGCCTGAGCTGGCTTCACACATATCCACTACATCTGTCTTCTTAAAAGGCTGAGAGAACAGGAAAAAAGGACCTTCTATTATAGTACCATGAAGACCATCACTGAGAGTTCACCAGAGACAGCCAATGTTGATATGCCCTGTTTCCTGTCCTGTATCCCTATGTTGGCTAAGTGCCTGGTAGTTTATATCTTATTAGGACACATGAATAGGAATGACCATCCCCATTGGAAAAGATGCTGGTGGTCATTTAAAGAGGGTATCACAGAGTGGTAGCACAGTGATGCTCATTCTCCCGCCTGGACTCAATATGGCCCTGTGGCCACAGTCTAGGCTCAGAATTTTTCTCAGGAGCTCCAAGTAAATGAGACTATGAAACAATAAAAAAGAAAGATAAGATATCAGTAGATATTCGTGCCTTGATGGTTGCCAAACTCTGATGGTAAAGGAAATATCTGCAGTATGAGATAAGGTTTTCTCTTTGCTCTGTGCTAAGAAGGGAAATGTTATAAAGGCTGTATGAAGATGAATTTAGATCTACTAACACTATCCACTGGTGCCATGTTCATTATACATGAAGGGAACCTGATTAGAAATGAGGCTGAAGGAGAACCAGAAGTATATTCCACCTAATAGTCCAGATGCTGAAAACAGCCCAGAGACCATATGCAGGTAGCCCTTGGCTGCAAACATTGTGGTCCAGATCAGGCTCTGATGAACTGCAATATCAGAGGTAGGCATTGCATCAGGGGTAGATATTAAATGATGTCTACCTGTGTTTACAGTGCAAACATGACCCAAATATGGGTAGGGACATCCAATTATTTGTCATCCCATTCAAGATCCAACCAATCCTGAGACACAACAAAAGCTTGTAGAGAAGGGAGGTGAAGATCAAGCATTCAGCCTTGGGGCTGCAGAATTTATTTTTATAGTGTGGCTACAAGGACCTAAGGTCAAATCACCTGCTGCTACAGGGCTCAGAATAGGAAAGTGCAGAAGAGTTTGAGTCTTCACAGATGGAAATTGACCCTTCCTCCTACCCCACTCTCCCAACCACACACCATAAACTGAGCAGTGACTCCAGGGCTCCAGAACAGGCAGAGAGATGCCTAGATATGGAAACATGAGTGGTCTCTGAGCTGCAGGGATATCACAACTGCCTAGACCATCCCTGAGGACTTATGGGTTTGTGCCCCACATCAGGCTACCTAACCAAGGGACCTGTGCCCCACGGCTAAACCCACAAAATATCTGCCTTCAAAAACAAATAAGATTTATGCCCAGGAGACATAAGGCACAGGAGTGTAGGGCACAGGGATTTCCCTCTTAAATGGCTCCAGCAAAGCATTTAAACGACTTCCAGAACTCACACAAGGACACAGGGCAGAAGCAGACTTTTGAGAAGTACATAGACCACAAAGGAGATCCATCTCCCACAGGAGCAGTGGAGGACTCTTGGGCCCACACCAGGGACAGAGGTGTGGGGGCGACAATGTTGATTCAGGCACTACCTTGCCAGCGAAGGGTTGCATATCACTCTAACCCATAGGTGCCTCTGGTTATACCTGCCCCATCCCCCTGCTGCAGCCACATAGTCAGAACTGACTGGGGAGTGCCCACCCCCCACTCCTCTCCTTTCCCAGGATTACACCCCTGACCCACCTTCTCGACTCCACCAGGGCCACCAAGCCACTGCATCCTTATCCAACCATTCCGGCCCTGGCAGCCCTCAGAGCGGACACCCCTTGACACCTAGCTGTGAAAGCTGTGGTGGGAGGGGGTTCAGTTCTATGCCCCAAGGTGTGTAACAGTAGAACCCAGAGTTCTTGGCAGGCTACCACCCACCAAGCACTGCACAAAGAACAGAAGGAAACTCACCCCCTATCTTCCTGGGAACAATTCCTATTCACTTGTTCTGGAGTTCCAGTCTGAGGGGCAGTCATGGGCAG